AAATCTCAACGAGCACCTCTAACAACATGCGGGTGGCTTCCCACAGCAGGCGGGGCGAGCACGCAAACAACACCACGCACAAATCGTCGACAAAGGCGACTTCGACAACATCTTCCTCTTGATGGCTCTCAGCAGCGCCATCGGCCCAGAATGGGCCCTCCTCGGCGTTTCAGACGCAAGGTCACGCCGGCGCCTTGCAGTCGTGACCTCAGAGCAATTATAACAAGAGCGTAAGCACTGTTATGGACGACTCCGCCAAGCTTGCACCCTTGCCTCCTCCCCGTCATGGTGTATACGAATGTGTCGCACCCTGGGTATTGGAATCAGGACTTCGTGTGTAGTCCGCAAACGAGCGCCGCCACTTTGGGGTCGAGCCCCATTTGTTGAAACGCAGTGCCGTGTGATTCAGTGTACTCACAAATCCAACCAGCGACCTCCGGAGAACAACCACACTTGACAAGGTAGTCGGTCTTAGACGTTGTGTCGCTCCCAACGTCACTCGGCCACCCGAAAACGAGCTCGCGCACGACTTTGTCAAAAGCTTTCGTGAGATCCACGTACAACACACACACAGAGACGCAAGCGCAGCAAAATCGAGAGCTCAGCAAGAAATGGTGGGCAAAATCGGTGCTGCGGCCTGGTACGGCGCCGTTTTGGGACTTCGGTAAAGAGGCGGCGTAAGGCTCATCGATTGCACTTTTTAATGTGCCAATCATTGCCTTGCCCATGTTATCAGAAATCAACAGCCCTCTGCTGTTGTCAGGCTCCGAGCTGTCACCCTTGCCTTTGAACAAATCAACCATGCGGCCGCCTTTCCACTGTACGGGCCATCTTTCCTCACTCACAACACGGTCACATATGTCAAACAGCTTGACTGCCAGACTGGACCCGCCTGCCTTCAGAAGTTCGGCGCTGATGCGGTCAGGGCCGAGGGCCTTGTTATCGCTCAGTGCTCTGATTGACTCGTGCACGCACGTGGGGCTCACAACAAAAGAAGACTCAGTCCGCGCACCAGGGCACGACACTAGCTCGCTCTGGCTGTGCACCAGACTGCCGCCGACAACCTCCATGAAGTGATGTTGCCAACGATTGCACCTTTCCTCTCTTGTCGCGGAGACACTCCCATCATGCAACTTCACGGCCTGAGGGGGGCGCATTTTGTGACCTGCGAGAGCCTTGACGACTCCGTACGTGCCTCGCAAATCACCCCTGTCAGCAAGCCACTGGGCCTTGAAAGCAAGATTTTCGAAGTGAAGGGCCCTGTCGCGGTCAATGACGCCACGAACCCCTTGCTGGATGACAACAATGCAACGATAACATACTGCTTCAATGCAACACAGCGACAACCATGTGCTACGAATGTCAGCAAACCGAACAAGGGCAACCCAACCAAAACCGCACACGTCTTGGCTGCATGGGTGACTGTAATGGTCCTGTCGGCGGCCCGGGGGGTACGACTCAGGGCGCGCCGAAGCCTACAACATGAAGCACGCGTGCAAATACCACTTCTTCCCCTGCTGCCTCGCAACGTGCATGACACGACGACAAGGCCCGGTGTGCTGAAGCAACTCCCACGCGCTGTCAGATATCCACCCTTTGGAGGGCGACTTTGGTGGAGACCCGAAGATCCGGCGTGCTTGCGTCAGCAGGAACGCATTGAATTCAGCAATGTGCTCATCGACAGAACAATTCTGGCCAGGCACGAAATTCCACACTGCACGCTCGAACTGGTCGCGGAGATGTGCATTGTCCAAGGCACGGGCATCAAACGACATGCTGCGCTTCCCTCTCACACGACTCTTACCACCAACGGCGTCTTCCGCCGAATCCACACTCAGTGACGCGCTCACAGCCTGGTGGTCCTCCCATGTGCTTTTGGACAGGTCAACATCACACAACACACGGCATGCATGAACACACTTGTGTAAACACTCATCAAGACAAACAGAATCAATGCGATGCGCATAGCCACTGGGATGCCTCCACGTGTAACCTGTGTCAAACCAAGTGCTAATAGCATACAACATGTGATCACGAAGGAAACATCTAAACAACATGCCGTTCTCATTATCCTCCTCCGGTTCACACGGCCCGATGTGTGTACACCGAGCAGATCCCACCCGTGCGTTGGCATCAATCAGCACCACGACAGATT